AAAAGAAAAATAGGGGTCACCGAACGTCCAAGATCGTTAAATCCAGGTAAAGCTATAGCAATGGCCATTTGCCCTATCATTGTTCATTTTATTATTTAGCGGGCGCTCTCATGCATAACGTGCGTATGAATTTCCGTGCGCAGTAAGGATGCGCAGAAACAATTAGCGCAAACGTCCTTAATTTTCAGGCAAATCAAACTCATTTGATGGACTCATGCGGACTCGTTTTGAAACAGAGGAAGTATATTTTCCAGATTGGTAATATTCCTCTTACTTCTAATTTATTATTTCTTAAATGTTCACTAAGCTGTAAGCTGACAATACACTTGAAACATTCCAAATAAATAAACAAACAAACAAACAAACGAAAAAAGCAGTGTTTACCACTCAGATCGGCCTGTAGTCAGTGCAACGCACCATCCCACTAACATTCGATTCACCACTTCTAAACAAAAATTGAAGAAAAAGTGGACTGAATTTATGCCAAACGAAGGGATGATGTTTAAAAAAGTACATTTAATATCAAAGTAGTTATAATTTTAGATATCAGAGATTGATCGAAACTTCTTTCAACAGCTCCAAAAGATTTTACTCTGTATCAGAAAATGAGATGGGTAAACATAATCATTTCTGCAAGTCGTCGTTTTATAGTACTTTTTTTCGTACCTATTCACTCTATTATTAACAAAGGAAAACAAGTGACCTTCCTTGCAAACTCGCCCGGCTCGACAGGTCTTTTACTGCTTTCGCAGCCTATATATGGATTACAAGTTCAGAATCGAGTACTCAATGTTCTTCATATATTGATCACGTGATATGTGAAAGAAATAAAACCCATTCAGTTCTCAGTATTCTGAGAAGTTTATTCAAGAAGTTTATTCAAGAACTTTAAAAAGCGACCTCGAATAAACTTCTTGAATAAACTTCTTGAGGCAAATAAACGCTTAGTCTAACAAATTTGAAATACACAACCGGGGAAGTTGATAACCGATAAAATACCGTAAATCACTTTGACAGTGGCGCGACAAAGTGGCTTGACTTAATTAACCTAACCAACCATTTCCTTCTTAGTTATGTTGCTCTCCACCTCCCCATGGGAAGCCATTGTAACTTCTTCTTGCATTGTCCGTCTTCATGCTGTTGTTCATACCACTGAAGGCTCACGTACCTTTTTATGTCCGATATCAAAGTTTGAGGGGCTTTTTTTTGACCTGGTATATTCCGATGATGACATCTTGCCAAAGTAAAGCGGTATGGAACAGAATAGGTTTGAAGAAGTTACATTAGGTAATATTTGTCATTGTTGAGTGGCTTTAGCATTATTAACCGAACAAGCGATAAGTTTGAAGTTTTGGACGACAGTTTAAGTTCAAATAACCTGCGCCGGGGTTTAGACGTTGAAGACCTTTGCAACCTAATTTTTAATTTATTGGTTCTTTCAAGGTGGCCTTTTATCTCGCCAAAACCACCACCGGTCATTCTAGCTTTGTTTCTATACAGTATCGTCCGCAGCAAAGTAGAAGCATATCGTAGAGGAAAGTAACATGTAATAGTTTTTGAATGCTGAAACATGCCACCAAGGAATGGATAAAGTGGCGAACATCCACGAAAACGTATTTAATGCGGCATTTCGTCAAACGAATCTCCGTCAGAAGTGGGTTCAACCATGTGTCTTCAATTACTGAGGAAGATTAAAATATTCCTTCTTATAATTTGGGTTCAAACTGCTTCAACACTGAGGCTGAAATCAGGTTAGTGATATTTTCTTTGATAGTTATGTATTTGTCGATTCACTCTACTAATTGGCTTTGATGCAAACAACTCAATAATTAATAACAAATGGGGGTGCTAAATACATCGACCAAGGTGTTGTCTCTTTTAAGTTAGGTAATATTTTTGCTTGTCCTACGTTTTCTGAAAAATCCGTTCCTTATATTTAAATCCAAATATCGACAGAAAATAAAGAAAATTAACTCCTAGTGTGGTTCTGACGGCAACATGATTCTCAATGATCTAAAACTTCTACCTGCGTTCTCGTTTTCTAATTGATCGTGAAACATGGATGTTTCTTTTATTATTATTATAAGCGCGAGAGACCTTTCATAAATAGAGCATAGCCTTTGTTATAAGGAGAATTAAGTGGTTAAACACATACTATTTTATGATAACTGTGATACATTGTTGCGTTCAAATACAGTAACTAAATTAGGACAGAAATATGTGATGTTGATGAACAAGCACAGATCGCCTAAACTGTAACCTAAATAAAATTTACCAGAGATACTACCAGTTCATGTTCTAAATTTATTTACTAAAATTCATTTTCTTTCGCTCTAGGAAAGGATTCTATCCAAGATAAAGACCATAAAGCATCGCGGCGTTTCCATGTCAACGATTATCAGAACAGTTCTTTGGCTTCAAGACGAACCACATACCGTATTAACATGCCAGCGAAGGTGGCAAAGCTTATTCTCCCCCAAATGACAAATAAGAACCAGGAGACGATTATCAGAATATATCCGGACAGATCAGCTCCGACACAAAATCAAAGTTCAGCAAATTACATGTTAAGCCTCAGTTACAAGAAGCTTAATAATGACGATGTTTCAAATAAACTCAAAATTGGAAGGAGTGCCTGTTATTACGGATATCGTCCAGGCTGCTGTTCGGTTTGTTGTCCCGGATGTAAGTGCTCATATTTCTGTTCAGCTACGCATGGTATCACGAGTAATTTGAGTCTTAAATCCTCGATTTTCTTGAGCCAGTACATTTATTGCCCTGTTGCTATACTATTCAGCCTGAGCATGCGTTGGAAACAGGTGCTGTCGACTTGCTGTAAACAAATTGGATTTCCAAAACGTCCCTCCGCTTCTATATTGTTGTTCTTACTGCTGCTTTCAGTAGCAAGTAAACCCTGGTTACGGTAGTCCCTTCTATTGTTGTTGCCGTTGTTGTTGTTGTTGTTGTTGTTTCTGTTGTCGTTAAGGACCTATGGACTCAATAAAATTCAAATCAACTGTACATTTCCAAATCCTTAATTTGTGTCTATGATTGCAATCTATATAAACAGATACGATTCTCAACTTATGATCACCCCGGTATAAAGATCAAAATATAAATTATATTAAAATGTGTCTATTTTATTTTTGTTTGTTGCAGCGATGTGTAACCCGTCCATGATACCAGGTATCCCTACAAAATGACTAAAGGAAAATAATTAATGTAACTACAATCTAATCTTGTCGTTTTGTTAGCCCATGAACACAAAATACTTTGTCCTGTAAATCTGACCTAAATATAACAGAAAGAAAACATTGTCGTCATAACAACCATAGTAAGCTAATAACCATCCTTCTTCTATTGCCTTACCTAAACTTATTATTCATTGATTTTTTCAGGATCGTGCATGTGCTGTCCCCGTCCGAGTAAGTACCAGATCCATTTTATGTTACAAGTGCTTGTTAGCTTGTGAGCAAGTGCTTACAGGGTAGAGAATGCATTTAGGAATCATTGTTATGCAGTGCTATATGCGGCGTGCTGTTCACGTAATTGATTCAGTCTGATATATATCCATCACGATCATTTCATCGGTAAAAAAAAACATGAGTAAAATCAGGTCAGTCAGACAGAACCTATGGCCTCTCTAATTTATAGATCACTGCACGCTTCTTTTTGGTTTCGTTCGAACTTTGAACAATCTCTTAAGCTTTAATTGTATTTACTGCCTTACCTTTGGAAAATGCTTCCATTTACTCATCTCGTTCACTGTTATTTTTTTACATGCATAAACCTCACCTCAGTTTGTCCACGGCCACGTAAGTATGTTTTCTATGTGCTAAACAAGTTACAAGTCATATTTAAAGCCATTATGTAACACCGAGAGACTATGATCTAGCTCATAGTCTGTTGGTAACACATGATGTAAAATCTTAGAGTAGTATGGTCATGGATATATATGTTATTTGCCGGCTGGGAGGTCGGTATTGGGAAAAGCTGTGCCCGAGGTTTTGAGAATAAGGCCCAAGGAGAAAAAGAAACGCACGGTTTGAAATAAAGTTGAGTATCTTAGTAATGCGCTTTAAATCAAAGCGACACACATTTACGAAAAATCCAAAAAGGCTTTATTTGCTGCTTTGTTTGACTCTGTGTTGAATGTTTACACTTAAAGTTGTTTTACGGTGCAACAAAAAGCTTGGACCGCTGGTGCGCGCGAGATTAGCCAATCAGATTCAAGGATTTAGGATTCCGGCCCGCTGAAAAGCATTTATTGTTTGTAGAACTCAATTGCAATTGGCATGGTATCATGCAGCTAATAAGATTTCCTAAAGATGCATTCGTAAGAACGAGCTTGTCGTTTAATATATTTTTACAACAATTTATGTCTTTAATTTGCTCCTAACTCTTCATCATTTATGTAATCGTTAATGATATACCTTTTGTTGCTCTCAGCTTGCTGCTGTTGCTGCTGTTGTTCCAGCCCACCAGCCCCGCCACCACCACCACCGCCACCCCCAAAAAAGCCACCACCACCTCCCTGCCCTATGGTGTGTCTTCCTTGCAACCCTTGCCCCAGACCTCCCCCGTGCCGTCCAATATGTATACCCCGCCCGATAATCAGACCTTGTCATCACCCATGCCGCATACCAGCACCGCCAGTAACTGGACCGATCGATGGGCCATGTATCTCTGCGCCACCTGTCATGGGACCGTGCCATCCGCCGTGTTTGCCCCAGAGACCATTTTTGCCTGGTCCGCTTCATTCTGCTCCACCAATACAAGCTGGCAGACCAGTAGTGGTGGATCATCCTTTAAAAGGACCCCCTATATTCATCGGTAAGAAGTCATAGCTATTTGAAAAAATATATATAATAATAATAATGCATAATGTATATTGATATTTTAGTACATTGGGGTATTGTTACGTTTGGCATCGTCAACCTAAAATAAGATAAAATAAAACAAATGACGCATTATTTTTGCATATGGCTAAGACATCTGCATAAGTTTCTGATTGCTGAGAGAGTCCTGAAGTTTTTTCTTAATTGACAGCTGAGAAATCGCCGAAAATTTAGCTGGTAACTGAGATTCCATCGTTCCAGCGCCCCAAACCAAACATTCTTCGTGCATGTCATCGTATATATACTCGTGAAATTTTAAGGATTCACTTTACGAGTGAAATGAGAAAACTCTCTTAAGATTGCACGAGTAAATAGCGGATGCCTTCATTATTCGTTAACAGATCAGTGTCGCGACGTCTTACCGGAATGCAAGGAATTTGCAAGGAGTGGAATGTGTAACCATCCGACGCCTTTCCACAGCATTCAGCAAATACGAAAAATATGTGCCTTCTCCTGCGGCATTTGCAATGAGTAAGTATACACCTACTATTCACTGTCTTTGCACGTTTTCTTGTACGCAGAGTGCTTTCTGCCGAAAGTATATGGACATTGCATATCGATACAAACATGTATTTCAGGTTTAGAGGTAGCAAGAGATAAATGTATATTCCAATCGTAGTACAAGGAGGAGAAGGCGAGGGGAGTTAGAACTCCCTTGGGTTTAAATTTTCTTCGCAATAAGACATTGCAAAATTATTTCCTGTTTAGAAAAAAAAGCCCTCAAGCTATTCTACATGATGAGATTTTTCAGTTGGCTGTAATGTCATATGACGTCACATGCCATCCTGCTTCAGTCATCTTGGATTAAAACATTATTTTTTTTTCTCAGAAAGAAAGATAATAACGTGAACGACATTTGTGATAGCAGCCCAGAAATATACTAAGCGTCTGATTTTCTTTTCTTTTTCTTTTTGTTTTTCCCTTCAGTTACGACGAGAACGCAGCGCTACTTCGTAGACACACAAATTCTCCAGTTCATGTTAGGCCGGCAGTACGTGCAAAACTTAACAGAGCCTTGGCACAGATCATCCGAAACCAAGACCTTGAAGGACAATCCACTCTTAGACCTGAGCAGGACAAAGCTGGATCTACCAAACTGGGAGAAGAAACTGGGGAGAAGAGAAGTCGTGACATCATCGATTTTACACGCCAAGCATTCGATCGGAAGTTGCCAAGTGATGTTGAACAAGACGGTTTAAGTGGATCAGGGGCAACTTCTAATAGCCTTGAAGAAACGGCATCAAAAAAGAGTAACAATGAGAAAAGATAAATACTTTAAATTCTCCGGGAGATAATTGTCTTATAGAATAGGCAAGATGCATTGAAAAGAGACAACACGCCCATTAAAACAAACAAATGACGATTTTTATTTCTAAAGAAATAAAGAAACTCATAATGAGTGTAAAAGTAGTCTCAGAGATAAGAATAAAATTTGTATTTTTATGATGAATTTTTGTTGTTGTTGTTGTTGTTGTTGTTTTTGCTTTTTTTTTTTCTTATACTATTAAGTAACCTAGGTGGAAAATGCGTCCATCAGGATGTAATTCAAGGGAGGATTTCATCCAGCGAGCAAACAAGCAAGCAAGCAAACAAACAAACAACAGAAACAGCAATTACAGACACAACCCACATCTGTTAAGGACGGTACCTACTAAATACACAGGTTTTTGTGCCAGGTTGGGACCACGCGAAAAAGTATACCTTATAAAGGGCTATTGGAATCCACAAAGAAAAATGTGGGAAACCACGCATTCTTTTGAGATAATCAGCCTTGAACCTCAACCAAAATGCTGACATCAGTATTTTTCTTAAAAAAGAAGGAAAGGATATTTCTTCACAGATTTCCTTGCAATTCGCCTTTACACACAGAAAAGCAAACACATTTAAAAATATCTTTAAACTACATGGCAAATGATAAATATAACATAAAAACCATTTGGTATGTTTTTAGTAACAAAATCGTTGCAACAGCGCTCTTAGCGTCTCTGACAGCCTTTCTCTGGATCAGCTAAAATACAGTTTAAATACCTTTTGCTCACAACCAGAAACTAATAACGTGTTGAATAGGCTTGCCACTTCCATTTCATAACATAAAATGTAGGGGTAACCATGCGTTCTTTTAAAGTTATTCATCTTTTTTGAGAACTTTTACGGTGCCCGTTACATTTTTCCTCTCACCTCCCCAGTAAGTAAGACATTTGCGTCTCTCGCACTTTTTTTGCGCGCGCACTACGCCATCTGCAGGTACATGTTTACGGTCGGATTTCAGTATAATTTTCGACAGATTACAGCTAGGTTTTTAGCTGGAAAACGTTAACAGTTAGTGGTTAGCGATATGCTACTGTTCTGGAGTTCCTGGTTTAAGTACAGGTTCATTTAACTTGATTTGGTCACAGTAGGAATATTTTGCTTTCATTTTAGTCGCGCAATTGGTAGCGTAGTTGATTGCGTCAATTACGAAGTTTACGAAACCACAACGGTAACGCCGAGAACAACGTCGATTAAAAAATAGATTTTTATTTTACCTACGAATCTCGCGGTACTCTAAAGTCATTTACTTTGTATATCACTGTCAAACCTATCACGAAACTGAATCCGGAACACAGCGATAAATTTGAAATAAAAATTTAAAAAATTAGCCGTCGCAGTTCACGTTCTCCAGACAAGGCAAAATTTGGTTATTTCACGTTGTTGTTGTGCAGAGGACGGCAAAGAAATGTACCTAGAATTATAACGCACGTGCACAGCCATTGTTCTGCTCATTAATTCTTTTGTTCAGTGGCGTTCCCGTTGCCGTTGCCGTCGTGGTTTCGTGAACTCCCCAATGTCAACCCCAGCGCGCGCGTGGCGCTTAAACCATGGCTTGCGTGATGCGCAGAACGTTTGAGCACTAACAAAAGTAGGCATTAAGTACTGTATAAAATGACTAGTTTATACTGAATATTACTGCTCGTTGTAAGGCCTGCACGGTGTTTGATTGGCTAAAAAGATTGTTTTATGAGGAAATACAACACTGATAATTACCTTTTATTGTCGACATGTTACAGCATACCGTAGTTAATAGCAGGGATTGGTTGAGAGGCCCGGTAAACATCAAAGAAGTAAACAAGCAGGCTAAGATTTACGTAGGTAGGTCCTTGACTCAACACATTTTTTGTCTATGCTCACAGACTATGCATGAATTATATAAGCGCAATCCTTCAGTTGGTTAGTTGTCAATTTGGCAGTGCAGGGTCAACCTTCAAAATAGCCAACAAAAACATACAACAAAGAACTTTGCCAGGATTCATAACCATTCCCTCTATCAACTCTGAGCATATTAAGAAACCGAAGCTGCACATTATGCCCTCATTGAACTGACTTAAGGTATAAAGCGACACCAGCTGGCGGCTCGATTCTTTCCTTTTCCATGTTTTTTTTTTTCCCGTAGATTCTCTTATGTGTCAAATAACTGTAGTGTCTTTTGATAGTGTAACAAAAGGCCTCAGTTTCTTTAATTGTTAAGGAAAAACTGAAGCCAGTGAAGGCCATTTCTGTCGTGTGAGCGCACTCTCGAACATTGCAATAGAACACGAGCGAAAACAATAAAGAGTTACCCAGCAATTACCTCTCTGAGAGATCACAGTATGTCGGCTACAAGGACGCTAATTCAGATCCTTTGCGTCTTTCTTTTGGCGTCCCGCAGAGGTTAGTTTTAGGACCAACATTATTTAATATTCATATGAATAACATATCGAAGGCATGTTATACTTCCACTCTCTCGTTATACGCAGACGATACTGAGATGCATTTCAGCTCTAAGAATATTGATTTAGCTGAGCACAATGTCAACAAGGATCTCAGGAGCGTCAGACACTGGTTTTGTAGGAATGGCCTTATTTGTAAGACAAAAAAGTCGGAAACCATGATTATTGCGTCCCACAAAGCACTCAAAACCACTAGGGACATTAACATATTTTACGACAATTCAACATTAAAACAGCAGAGACATTTTACGTATCATGGCGTAGTAGTAGACGAATCATTATCATGGAACAATCACATGTCATATGCTGCTTCGAGAGTTTATTCTAAACTGAAATAGAATTTCTTCTTTCCTCAGCCCTGCTATTTTTATTTACGAACTATAAAGCAACAATTCTACCTATTTTAGATTATGGCTGCACGGTATGGGGTTTTTCCGAATAGAAGAACTCCGATTTTCTAGAAAGAAAGCAATGCAAATAATTTAAAGAAAAAAATCACTGAACGTGCACACAGTCAATGAGGGAGAGACTTGGCCTATTGGACAGACACCGTTATTTACGTCTGCAATTAGTAGATAAAATCGTAAATGATTATCACTGTCCCAGGCAACTTCAAGGGTATTTTTTACTGAGATCAGAACTTCGTCGTAAGGCCCTGAGACACAGCAAAGGTGTTGAAGTGATAACTCGGAGGCATCGTAGGATAATTTTATCGGAAACCGTTTTTACTATTATCATAATTATCTATATTTTTTATGTGATCAGTACATTCAGTTCTCTTTATTTTTATGAAATGGTACACGGCTCTCTTCAATTCTTGTTAAACTCGTCGAAAATTGTGAAAGAATACGACCGAGCACAATAAACAAGCAAAATGGAAAGTGGAAAGTGGAAAG